AAAAAAAAAAAAAAAAAAAAATTTAATAAAAAGTGAAAAAAAATCTTTCTGTGTAAATATCCCATGTAACAACATGGACACCTGCGGCTTATAGAGAAGAAGAATTTGTTTTATTTAGTGTGTTCGGCTTATAGTCAGGTGCGCTCAATAGTCCGGAAATTACGGTACACCTACCTTCTACCTTTACTATCTCTTCTTGCATCTTGCAACCGAATTCTTACAATATTTTAATTCAGTTGAAGTAATGAAGCAACAGACCTTCGACTGCATGTTAAGGATACGTTTTATGTTTGAACTTTTTTTTTACCTTTTATCGACTTCACTCTCTGTTATTGTTCTTGTCGATTCCTCAGGGATCGCAATTGCAGTGTGTTTTTATCAGAGAAACAGAGCGGGAGACATTTTGGTTTTTTTCGCACTTTGCAAAAGATCAGGGATCAGATGGGCGCACTGTTTAGGCTACCATGTCATCGGCCGTCGTGATCAAAGTGTGACAACAGCACGCAGCGCACACACCGACACAGCCTTTCTTCCTCCTTAAAGTCTCCTTCTCTGGCTCTGCGGTTTTCACGGTCTGCCGCTCACCAACAAAGATAAAGATCCTCCTTCATTAAAGCTTTCCTTTGGTTCTCTGTCTCTCTGTCCATTTAAAGCACCTGCACAGTAAGATTATACTGATATACGTACCATGGTCGGGTGGAGGTGGTCCACCCAGGTGTGTTTTCGGAGGAACACACACGCACATCCACGTTACCATGTGAAGTTCCGATCATTTCAAATACAAAAACTCTTAAACTGAAACTTTGACTATTTGGGCCTTGAGTCAAACTGTATGGAATGCTGTGGAAATGTTACTTTGTGACTTTTAAAAGTTCCTACTCGATTACATTTGAAGAGTACCGACAACTTTGAGTATTTTATATTAGGTTAATCAGCGATTGGCGTGCCAAGCTAACTCCATCTACGACTCGCTCCTATCGCTTATTGGAATATCTTGGCTAAGTTTTTTGACTCGCGCGCCACAAAATGTGAAAGTCATGGATAAAGGCTAATATGCTAAAATATTTTTTAAAACCTTATACGCCATCTATTGGGGGAACGCGGTATTGCAGGTCATCATGCAGAAGTATGATGATAATATAAATTATTAATTATATAATTTGAAAATGGACGGATTAAAAAGCTGAACGAGCCACATCTGGACCCCGGGCCTTAGTTTGCCCGTACGTGATCTAGTGGATTATTTTCCATTTTCAACAACATTGTGGGAAAAGCTTTAATTTCACCTCACTTTGGCTAAGAACATATATTTTTTGAAATATATTTTTTGGATTTTGTCATTATTAATTGTAAATAATGACAAATTTGGATTTATCGCTTGGCTAAGTCGATCTAAGGCGTTTCGTAGCTACATCGCCATCTCTGGTAAATTTATTACATACAATGTCTGCCGTTGATTTTGCTCCTCCTCCTCTGTTTGCAGGTTGAGGGAGATCAACATGAGTGATTATGATGCCAACTCTTACGAGCGCTTCTCCAACGCTGTCAGGAGACAGGTCCAGTCTCTGAGGATCATCTTGGACAGTTTACAGGTGAGGGGGGGGGGGGGGGGGGGTGTTGAGCCTGACCTGGGGGTGGACTGACAGACCTATTCCTGTCCATATAGTTGACGTCGCTCCAAATGTGTTTGTTTTGGTTGAAACCCAGCCTTTGAAAGCCATGCACAGTAACTGCCACAAAATCAATCAGCGGTACAACAGTACGTGCTCATCCTGTGACTGAGTGGCTTTGTGGCCATCAGGTCTATGACAAGCATCTGACCTTACGCAATCTGAGGTGATGAAAGGTCAGGATGAAGAAGGGACGGGCGTTGAGAGAGATGGTTGATTTAGACCACGTGTGGGTAGACTTTTTGACTCGCGGGTCACAATAGGTCCTAATATTTGACGGGCGGGGCCGAGTCTGGAGCAGATAGATGGAGTGTTGGTGTGAACTAAGATAAAAGACATGTAAAAGTCATGCGTAAAGGCTAAAATGCTAAAATACTTTAGCGTTGTATTGGCGGGAAAATGCAGAAGTACAGATAGATAGATGTACTTTATTGATCCCAGGCTGTGTATATATATATATATATATATATATATACAGTATTATAGTAATATAAATTAATAACATAATTTGGACATGTTTGGCGGACCGGATTCAAAGGCCAAACGGGCCGCATCTGGCCCCCGGGCCGTAGTTTGCCCATGCCTGTTTTAGACATTAGTGCTTTTGTTTGGAGTCTAACAAAGTCTGTGTGTGGTTTTGTGTGTACAGTAGAGCTATTATTGCCTCAGTAGCTGTGTGCGTGCGTGCGTTCGCTTCACTGAAGTCACATTTTCGGGGATTACAGAGTGACGACACCTGCCTCTGTCATTCTACCGTCCAGGTGTGAAGTGTGCTTGTGTTTCCCATCCAGGTGTTTGCTCTGTTCTTTGAACGTCAACGCTAGGTATTGTGTAAGCCGCAGTGTTTGTTTGTAGCCTGTCTGTAATTTTTTACTGACACGAACCCTGAATGTACGGTAGCAGACTTTAAAAAAAAATGGACGCCTTCCTATTTAGCTTGCACTTAGCATTATTTTCTTCTCCATTTGGACTCAGTTTCAGCAGCATCGCAGTATTTTTAGTGACCGTTAGATCGTCGCTGCCTTCTGGTTCGCTAATTAGCGGCTAATTCAAGCAGTTGGTTTTGTGATTCGTCTTAAATCCACCTTAAAACTTTTTAAAGCTTGGGTGGGTTGGCTCAGTTAGCCATTTAGCGCTGCTCTTGGATCAAAGTGATCCTTATTTTGTGGCCATTTTGAAGCTTTTGTAGCTATTTTTGGCTTAATCTTAATGTCCGGGAATTTGGGTAATAACATCATTGAAACTCATCGTGACTCATTTCTGCAGCAATTTGAAATATTTTACGGACATTTGACGTTCTGTTTCCGTAAAACACTGATTGCTAACCCTGGCTTTAAAGCAGTACTTCTCAAATAGTGGGGCATTTTTGTCCCCAAGGGGGGGGGCATGATGAGAAATAATTGAGAACCCCTTGCGTTAAAGGATATACTTACAAGAGGTTAAGGTAAGTTAGGTTAAACCAGTACTTCTCAAATAGTGGGGCGGGGGCCCCTGGGAGGGCGCGGTGAGGTGCCAGGGAGAGGGCATGAGGAATATTGCGGGGGAGGGGGGATTTCTGAAGAAAATATTTGAGATATGGGGGATTTCTGAAGAAAATATTTGAGAACTTGATGCTGCGATTACCTTTCCGACGGTTTGCGATAATAATGTGTTTGTGTTTTTTTTTTTTTTAGGCTAAAGGAAAAGAGCGTCAGTGGCTGAAGAACCAGGCTGTAGGAGACCTGGACGACGCAAAGATCATTGATGGGCTGACGGGAGAGAAGGCCATTTATAAACGCAGAGGAGAGCTGGAGCCTGAGGTGTGTGTGTTGGTGTGTGTGTGTGTGTGTGTGTTTTTTTTTAATCTACATGTTTTTAAACCATCGCCACACCTTCAATTACACACTCTCTCCCTGTCTCACACACACATAATTTGGGTTGTTATCTGTCCGACCTGCATTCCGGCGGTGTGTGAGATTATTATTACACCCTGTCTTTTCACAAACACGTACACGTCCTGCATGCCCCGCCCACATACACACACACTCACACACTCGTCACACATACGGAGCGGTTCCCACACTACACAAACACACGCACCCCTAACCATAATGTGCTACGCGGTGTTTTTCTGCCTTATTTAGATCCATGTCCTGCATACTTTTGGTTTGGCTTCAACGCCTCCTTTGAAATACCCACATTTGAATTCCTGACCCTGCCATGGACGTTATATTAAAGGCATAGTTCAAATTTTACAACTTGCGACTGTATCACACTTCTGACAAGCTTCGGTTTAGCGTGTGATGTCTATGGAACATCGTCACGGCTCCCTCTAGCTGCTAGGGCGTAGCGTTTTTATGAATCAGGCGGGCCACAATTCACACATTTGTGTGAACTAAGGTAAATGGCATGTAAAAGGCATGCGTAAAGGCGAAAATGCTCAAAATCATTTGCTACGCCATCTATTGGCGAACGTGGGTATTGCAAGGGAAAAGACAGCGGTATAATGGTAATATAAATAAATTCTATAATTTGGAAAAGTTTGACGGGCCACATTAAAAAGCTAAACGGGCCGCATCTGGCCCCCGAGCCGTAGTTTGCACCACGTCTGTCCTAAACCAATGTCTTTAGAGTAAATTAGCACATTTGTTTAGCAGCTCAAATGTAATGTTTGGTAATGTTATTTGTTTGTTTGTTTTTTTTAATTATCTTGTTTCACAAACTGACCACCGGAGGCAGCGGTGGGACAGCAGCTCCTCGTTCTTTTTGTTCACTCTCATGTAACCCACTTGTTATTACAATTTTTACATTTTACACAATTTTTTTTTTCTGGGTGTGTCCACAGCTCGGCAGTCCTCAGCAGAAGCCCAAGCGTTTACGCGTCCTGGCCGACGTGTCGGGCAGCATGTACCGCTTCAATGGCGTGGATGGGCGCCTGGAGCGCTCCATGGAGGCGGTGTGTATGGTGATGGAGGCCCTGGAGAACTACGAGCACAAGTTCAAGGTACAGATTGCCAAAAATAAACTAAGACAGCGTTGCTACTTTACAACAGATGTTTGCTTCAAAATTTGCATTTTTAAAAAAAAAGATGTTAAACCATCATGTTTGCGGTTAGCTTTCAGAGGAGGCAGGGTTAGCTGCTTTGAAGCCAATCATTACCCGCCTTATTATCTTTCTCTACAGTATGATGTAATAGGACACTCGGGTGACGGCTACGACATCGACCTGGTCAGTGCTGACAAAGTTCCCAAGAACAACAAAGAAAGACTCAAAGTCCTAAAGGTCAGTTTGGGATATCTAAAGAAGATAATTATTAACCAGGGGCGGATCGATACCGATACTACGACTTAGAGTATCTACCGATACTCGATGCTTGGTAGCCTTGTCCGCCTCAATTAATTAATAAACATGAACACCAGAGGTCTAACACAAATTTACGGGATATTGTTGTGTTTTGTGTCCTTATTTACGTGCCGGCTCACCGGCGCCCCCTGCAGACCATGCACGCTCACTCTCAGTTTTGCATGAGTGGGGACTTCACCCTGGAGGCCACAGAGTCCAGTATCAGAGAGCTTTCCAGGGAGGAGGCTGACGAGCACTTTGTGGTGGTGCTGAGCGACGCCAACCTGGAGCGATACGGCATCAGACCTGAGCGCTTCGCTAACGTCCTCACAGCCGACCCACAGGTTCACGCCTTCGCCATCTTCATTGGATCTTTGGGCAACCAGGCAGAAAGGTTAGGAAGGGGACCCATCAAAAGAATGTTTGTTCGACGACTCACATTTTAAACTTTTTCTCTCATTTTTATTTTCAGGCTGCAGAAAACTCTTCCAGCGGGACGATCCTTCGTCGCCATGGACACGAAGCAGATCCCCCAAATCCTGCAGCAGATCTTTACCTCGACCATGCTGTCCAGTGCCTGAGACTGACACACACAGAGTTTTTCTTATAGCTGTGATTGAACAAGCCAATCGCTTACAGCGAGAAAATCTCCTTTGCGACATTTACGACTTCTTCGATTTACGACATCCTCGATTTACCACGTCCTCGATTGACAACGTTCTCGACGGCGTTTCGTGGTCACCATCTCCCTTTAAATGTATCAAGAAAGCCTCATCCAATCATTCTGACGTCCGGCGTTAAAACTAGCCAACTAGTTTGCTTGGGAGCTGGTTGGCAAGTGGCGCGCACGTATACGTCGGTACGCAAGGCTACATTCGGAAACATTGCGTTATGGCTCCCCGGCGTAAATCAGACACGTCTGATAGTTTTATGTCCTATATTATGACGTTATCGCTGTGCTAGCGTAGGTGAGTGACATAGCTACTTATGTGCAGTATGTACGCGCTGACTTACAGTGAAAATCGAGTTGCGTTCGAACTCCGATGTAAGTCGAGGACCGCCTGTATTTTTATTTGAAAGTGTTTTAAACAGTTTTAATCAAACTGATTGCTGTCGGAAATGATTGATTAACGCAACTTAATCACATAATATATTTTACGATCCCATAGATCGTGTTTGTTTTTTAGGGGCGTCTCATTAGCATCTCGTCATGTGAGTCATAATAGGGCATTGGTGATGACATCACAGATGGCCTATTTGGATCACAGCCCCCCCCCTCCCCCCGCTGGCTCGGAATGCGTTACCTTTGTTGTTTCCGTCTTGGTTTCCGTCCTCTTTCGGCCTGTGAGCCTCCCTGGTCAGGGGTCGTGAACTGGAAACCTCAGTTCTTATTTTGGACTTCCTGTTTATCGTCCGTGTCAAAGGCAGGAGGTAGACACTTTGACTGGACGACGAGGACGACGACACCAGCATCGCTGCTGCCAACTCCTTTTCTTCTCTTTACCCCAACGTTTATGTAGATTTGACCAATAACACTGGGATTTTTATTTCCTAAAAAAAAATCTTTTAACGTGTTCTTCATTCAATTTTATCCACGTTTTTTTGTTTTTATTCATCTGAGTTTCCCTTTGGTTGGGTTTCTCTTAAAGTCGTACGTAATTTTAAACCTTAACACAACTTGAGTAATTTTTTTTTCCCGAGGAATTATATGTAGCACGTTTTATAAAATAAAATATAGACAGATATTTAAATTGTGTTCATAAAAAAACAAAAAAACAAATGTATATAGGAATAAATCTGTATTAAACAATAACAAAACATTTGTTCCAAATGAATCTGGCCTGGCCCAAACTTTTCAGTTTGTTTTACAAAAATGTGAGCCAGTTCTCACCATTTCAGAACAGATTTCTAAACCCAGGAACGTTGGGGCTGGTAAACCCCTCTTCCACCCAAACCAAAGTCCATAGAGAAAATCAGCGATTTTAGCTCACGGAGACAGAACAGTAGATGGTCCAGCTACTGTGTCTCTGTTAGCTTTGAATACTGATGTGTTTTCTCTGGACCTCGGTGTTATCGAGGGAGTGTTCAGTTTCCAGTTTGAAAACTTAGTGGCAACAAGGAGTGAACACATTCAAACAATAGCTTTACGTTTTCTTTTGCTGCGTGCTAAATGGTTTGCGGATTTTTCGGACACGCTAATATTATTCTCTTTGATGATAATATCCAACACAGGCATGGGCAAACTAAGGCCCGGGGGACCGGATGCGGCCCGTTTAGCTTTGTAATCCGGCCCGCCAAATTTTTCCAAATTATATAATTTATATTATCATTATACTTCTGCCTTTTCCCTGCAATACTCGCATTTCCCCAATAGATGGCGGAGAAATTTTTTAGAAGCATTTTAGCATTTTATCCTTTATTCATGACTTTTACATGTCATTTATCTTAGTTCACACGAATGCCCAATCTATCTGCTCCTGATCCCCCCCCCCCCCCCCCCCCCCCCCCCACAATTGTTGTCCGCGAGTCAAAAACTTTGCCCGCGGCTGATCTAACAGCTATGTTTTAATAGCTTTGTTGACACTTGGGGCTAACAGATGTACAGGCGCTTTGACAGAGATGAATCACACTTAATACACACTTATAGTACTGTATGTGTAACAAACACACACACACACCCTGGTGATTTCCCAAAAAAAACAAAAATGTGATGATGTCACAGGGATCAGACGACGTCTAAACATAGCGTCTGTGATTCACCGTGGATGAGTCAAAGTCTGTTTCGCATTAAACGGTAAAAATCCAAAGAACCCAAATTAGATGCTGATCACTTTCCGGTGGAGAACCATCACGGTCAGCAAAAACTTCACACTGCTGCTCTGAAAAGTATCCCATCGTGTTCAATATATGAAATATAATAATACAGTAGTCTGTTCTTATTCTACCTTTTCTTTCTCAGCTTTTCTCTCGGTTACGCTGTTTCCAGTCTTGAGATTTTGTATCCAATCATTTCAGGCTAAAAAAAAAAATCTACCTTAAGAGTCAGTAGTGCTGGCGCTGGGAGCCTAAAATGAATAGCAATGAGATTGTTTCATTAACCAATCAAATTTTGAGTTGGCCACTAGAAGGCCTTCTAGTTGGTCTAGAGCCGGCATGGGTAAAATACAGCTCGGGGGTCCGGATGCGGCCCGTTCAGCTTTTGTAATCCGGCCAAACTTTTATATAAAACCGAATTATATAATTTATTATATCATTATACTTTCCATGCAATACCCATGTTTCCCCAATAGATGGTGCTAAAATGCGAAACGTATTTTAGCCTGTATGCATGACTTTTACATGTTCGTATGAACGCTCCTGACCCGGCCCACCTGTCAAATTATTGGACCCATTATGGCCCGCGGGTCAAAAAGTTTGCCCTAGCCTCGCTTAGAGTTACGTTTTGCAAATGATTTGATTGGATGGTCCCACTAGTGGCTGTGGAGTAGCTTGTGTTGCTGTTGACAGATGATGTGGATCATGAATTGAACCCAACGTTTCATGGTGGACACTTGGGCTAAGGACTACTTTGACAACGGTCCCAAGAATCCCTCCATCTTTTCCTCCTATCTGTCCCCCGCGTCCTTGCTTTCTCTTCGTAGTTCCTGCTTGTGGTATTCTAAGCGCCTCGTGTCCCAGCTTCATGTCTGGAGCAGAGTCAGCTGTTTGTCCTGGCCTGCAGCTGGTGCAAACTGATGTGCTGAAACACATGAATGTAAAGCCTTTCTTTACAGCTGCCTGTTTCTCATCATGGCGGCACTTGGAGTGGGCCTGAGTGTCCCGTTTGATGGGGTGTCAGCGGACGCTGTAATCTTCTGTGAGTCTGTCAGCGCTGTAGATAAACCGGACTTGAACCTCTTTATTATAGACTTGAGGATCCTCAAGTTCATGAAAATCACAGAGTTTGAAATTGGACAGTTCAGTTTCCTCTCCTTGGACCCAGATTCTCAAACAGCTGGAGCTGGGAGGAGAGACCCAGGAGCTCTGGAGTCTGACTCAGTCTTTGGGGTCTTCACTCAAGGAGAACTTAGGAATGACCAAATCACACTAGACACAGGATGGAGCCTGGAGAGATGTGATGAGAGGTTTTTTTCCGTGACCGGCCCTGGAAAATGCGAAAGGCAAGTTTGGATTGGAAATACGCTCTGATTAGTTTAGCAGACTTCTCTTCTCCTCTCCTGCTCTCACTTCTCTATCTAGAACAACTGGAAGCCACTTGATAAAAGACGTGTTTTAGACAATCTTAGACTTCCTGTCTTGGGTTTGACTAACACAGGCATGGGCAAACTAAGGCCCGGGGGGCCGGATGCGGCCCGTTCAAGTTTTTTAATCCGGCCCGCCAAACTTTTCCAAATGATATATTTATTTATATTCTCATTATACTTCTGCCTTTTCCCTGCAATACCCATGTTTCGCCAATAGGTGGCGTATCATTTTAAAAAAAAGCATTTTAGCCTTTATGCGTGACTTTTACATGTCATTTATTTCAGTTCAACGAATGCTCCATCTATCTGCTCCTGACCCCTGTTCTTTACTTAATTAAATCTGTTTTGTGCGGAGACATAGCTAATGACCTAACATAGCTGCCTGGAGGAGGGGGATTAACTAGGATACCAAACAAATAAAGGGGGCGGGGGGGGGGGGCAGCAGTGGGAAAGAGGCCATTAAACTAAGCCTTAATCACCCCTTTTTCCTCCCCCCCG